TCTGTTTGTTAGTTTTCCTTCTAACAGTCAGGACCCTCAGCTGCAGGTCTGTTGGAATTTGCTAGAGGTCCACTCTAGACCCTGTTTGCCTGGGTATCACCAGCGGAGACTGCAGAACAGCAAATATTGCTGCCTGATCCTTCCTCTTGAAGCTGTGTCCCAGAGGGGCATCCACCTGTATGAGGTGTCCTGACTCACTATTTTTGTATATTCTGCAAGCTAACCATGATGGTTGAAAAAAATCAAAAGAATATTTCATAGCAAGTGAAAATTACATGAAATTTGGATCTCAATGTCCAGAAATGACATTTTAATTGAACATACCCACACACATTGATCTATGTATTGTCTATGGCTGCTCTTACACTACAGTGGCAGAGTCGAGCACTTGTGACAGAGACCATATGGTTCACAAAGTCAAAAATATTTACTACTAACCTTTTGCAGAAAAGGTTGCCAATTCCTCTTCTAGAGAGAGGGGATGTGCCACATATGCATGAGTCATGTCTCCCTCATAGTAGTTGCCAGATTTTTTGTGGATTCAGAGACTAAATAGCCAAACTCAAAACCTCTTAAGGGCAAAACCGGATTTCCTACAGTTTTTTGGTGCTGTGGAGACAGAAACTACTCAAACTGTCAGTCAGAAGCTTGGGAGTGCCATACCTGAACTGGGAGGAACCAGAGGTTAACTGACTCTTACTAAAATTAGAATGCAGCCCAGACCCAGCTCAATGCCTGACTAGATTGAGATAGTAAGTGTTTTGCCCTTTCTAAAGAGATAAAGGGCACCCCTGTCTGGTGCCCTTTATCTTCTGGAGCTTCTACCTTTCTTTTATACAAAATGTCCACTATACAAACAAACAAAATACTAGTTATGCAAAAAGGCAAGAAGATGTGACTGACAGTCAAAAGAAAAAATAAATAAATATAACAATAACAGCAGACCCACAGATGACCTAAATATTGAAGTTAACTGAAAAGGACTTTAAAATAACTATAATTAATACATGAAATAGAAAAAAGAAATGATGGACAAAATGGATGAAAAGATGGAGAATGTCACAGGGACTTGGAATCTGTTAAAAAAAATTCTAGTGGACATTCTAGAAGTGAAAAATACAGTACCCAAAATTAAGAACTCATTGGATGGGTTTAACAGATGACTATATACCAGAAAGCACAGAATTAATGAATTCAAAGACAAATCAATAAAAAATAGCCAAACTGAAGCACACAGAGAAAAAAGGAATGGAAAAGTTTGAGAAAGTACTTTATAGTGACTAATGTCTTTAAGTATTTGAGTTGCTAAGAAGCTGCATGCTGAATGTTACCCTGATTTTATACACAAGAAACCAAAAGAGAATTTGTAACAATCCTAATTTCACTCTGCAATTTATTAGTTATCTGTCCCCTTTTTTTGTACGTAACTTGCTTAAAATATCAATGAGATAACGTGTGAACTAAATTATCAGTTATGTGATATTATCAAATATCACATAACGGCTATTTGAGACTATAATTCAGTGATGTCTTATAACTTTAAACATATTTTTTTCCTATTTGTTATAACACCAACTTTTTGAAAAGTCTTCTAAAAAGCTTTAAGCAGAAATGGTTCTTACTAGAGAGTAAACATAAAATTGCGAAGGAATGCATTATGATTAGGGCATTCAGATTCAAGAAGAGTTTTATGACAGCTTATTATTTGGGAGGGTAAGAGAGCCCTTAATCCACTCAAGAAATGAAGAAATTTCTAAGAAAGACACAATTCTTAGTTGCTTATAAGAGCATGAGATGAAATGTGTTTTGTGTGTGTGTGTGTGGTTTTTTTTTGTTTTTTGTTTGTTTTTTTTTTGAGATGGAGTCTCACTCTGTTGCCCAGGCTGGAGTGCAGTGGTGTGATCTCGGCTCACTGTAACCTCCGCCTCCCGGGTTCAAGCAATTCTCCTGTCTCAGCCTCCCAAGTAGCTGAGACTACAGGCACCTGCCACCATGCCCAGCTAATTTTTTGTATTTTTAGTAGAGACGGGGTTTCACCATGTTAGCCAGGATGGTCTTGATCTCCTGACCTTGTGATCCGCCCGCCTCGGCCTCCCAAAGTGCTAGGATTACATACTTGAGCTACCACGCCTGGCCTTTGAGATGAAGCTTTTTAAAAAGATAGAAATCAAATGACAGGCTAAGTGGTTCTAAACCAGAGGGATCCATATCACAATTACTTGAGGGTTTTGCGCTGTTTTTCAAAATTCATAGGTCTAGACTCTATGAAGAATTATAAATCTGAATCTCCAGAGGTGAGGCCTCTAAGCAGGTGGATTTTAGGAGGAGCTTTACAGAGGATTCTTTTACATACTACTCTCGCTAAGAATCTGTCTTAAGTTGTGAATAAATTAAAATCTTGAAGCCTTTTAAGAAATTTTGAGGAGTGATCTAAAGGCAAAAAAATCTTTCTAATTCAGGAAATTGGTGTAAGGTAGATCGTTCACCAAACTTTGAACAAGAATATAAATTAAGGAAGTACTTAGAAGTGCTAAATAACTTAGTTGATGAACACTGTTAAGCAAATTTGACACATTGAGATTTACATAAAATAATTATTTGTCACATGCCTACTATATAGTGTTTTCTGCTTGATAAAAAAACTTGTTGCACCATTCTTTTCACTTGTACTGAGCAATGGTACCCACCAGATGGCAGTAGAGATACAGCAGAACCACCAGTGGATTCCTAACCCTTTTTTTTGCTACAAACTCTTCTCAGAATAATATTTTCAAATGCAGAAAGTAAAACACGTAGTAATGTATGAACTTCCTTAAGTGTATTAAACAACAGCATCTAACAATAGGTCTAATGACTTTCAATTTTTAAGTAGCAGTGAGTGTGAATATTTTGAGATAATCTGCAACTATAATGTAATAAGATACCTGTGATTTCTGTTGGTGACAAAGAAATCTGAGGCACGGCTGTTACTATTGTGTTTTGTTGCCTGTATTCATTATTGAAGAAAATGTCCATTTAAGTCAGAGGTAAGTGAAAATAATGACAAATTTTCCTCATCCAAGTTAATAGATTACATGAGTTCTATAACATACCCCCAAAGAGACAAGAGGTTAAGAATTTATTCTGTGGAGAGCTGCATTACCTGTACCATCATGAATACTAATTACTTATGAATCTGGTTGTTTGGTTAATATATTTGGTGATGAAGTTACACATAGGTGTGTCACACTGTAAAATACATTTTAGAAAAGATAGGTGTAAGATAAATCATTGTATTCCAATTTCTCTCCTTTGTTTTCATTATAAAACTGGAAACTAAATTCTTTTATGCAGAAAAGGTATGGTTCCCAAATGTAATAAAATTAATTTTAAAATGAATCCTATTTTGAACGTATTTAAAATAAAAACAAATTTCTGAAAAAATATTTGTAGTATTATGTCATAAAGTAAATATAGTTGTCTCTTGCCTACTTACCATGCACAAGGTATTATATGCAGCAGTTTGTGTGCATTATCTTGTTTAGTACTAAAACTAGTTGTATGAGATTTTTACTGCTACAAACATCATTTTAAAGAAGAGCCTGGGTTGTTATGTTGGGGTCAGACAAACGTGGATTCATTCCTGGCTCCACCACTTATCAGCCAAATGACTTTGGTCAAGTTACTTAACCTCTCCAAATTAAAATTTTCTTATCTGTAAAATAAGGACAATGTAAAAATAGTATCTACTTCATGGTGGGATTATGAGATAATGCATGAAAATAACTTAGCTGCTTGCCGGGGACACAGGAAGCCTGTCAAGTTCACCAGTGATCCACATTTTGCCAAATCCAGGAGTTGATTCTCAATCTCCATCTTATGCAATCCATCAGTAACCTTTGACACAGGTTAAATTCCTTCCTCCTTCAAACAATATCTTCACTTGGCCTGTGGGATATCTCTTGCTCTTGGTTCTCTTACCTCATTCACTGGCTTTCCACCTTAGTCTTCTTTCCTACATTCTCCTAACCTTTTCAACATCTCCTAATCTTAACCCAAAAGACTCATTTGTACTCAGATGTTAAGTAAGCAATGCAAATTTAACACATCCAACACTTAACAATTCATTTGTTTTCCCCTAAACCTGCTTCTCCCACATTTTCCTCTATCTCAGTAAATGTCACCTCCATTCTTCCAGTTTCTCAAGTTGAAGAGTTTCACTCATAAGACATAGTCAATCCATTTAGGAAATCTTGTCCATTCTACCTTCAACATTATCCAGAATCTGGTACCTTTTCACCAATTCTATGGCTACCATTGTAACTAAAGCCCTCAGATGTCTTTTGGAGTACTGTAATTACTTTCTGACTGGTCTCCCTGCTTCTATCCTTTGTTTCCCTGTAGTTTCTTTTCCCCGTAGCCAAGAGTGATCTTTTTAAAAAACATAGCATCATTCACTCCTCTACTCAAAATTGTCCAGTAGCTTCTCATCTCACTTAAAGCCAAAATCTTTACCATGGCCCTATGTGACCTAGCTTTCCATTGTCTTTTTGATGACATCTCCTATCATTCTCTCTCTCACTGCCTTGCCGCCACCCCTACATACACCACATTTGCCTACTCTGTTCCAGCCATATTGGTTCCTCAGATATACCTCAGGTCCATTACACTTGCTGTCTGCTCATCCTGGAAGGCATTGCCTGCTGGTATCTTTAGGGTGCACACCCTCACCTCCTTCAGTTCTCAGCTCATATATCACCTTTTTGGAAGGCTTTCCCTGGCTGCCCTATTTAAAATTACAAATCACCTAAGCACTCCATATATCCCTCCTTGTTTCATTTTTTCACATAACACTTAACCACCATCTGATATATATTTAATTAGTTTGTCTCACCTAACTCAAATGTTAGGTCTATGTCACCAGAGATTTTTATCTGGTTTGTTCACTGCTGTCTTCCCAGTATCAAAAATAAATTTGTTAAGTGACTAATTTTTTTTTTTTCATTTTAATACTTTATCAGGTGCAACACAGTTTATGCCTGACCCCAAGCTCATGGATCACGGGCAGTCCCACCCAGAAGATATAGATATGTACAGCACTAGAAGCTGAAGTAGACTGCATACAGAGACTACATAGAAAACTACAAGATGTGTGACGTTGCAAATAATGATGAAAAAAATCATGTAATGGGTAACTGATACATAGAGTATTACTTAAACCAAGTTTTTCCCTTACATATCCAAATGTACAATTTGATAAATTACATAAGTGGTTAACAGACAAACTGAATGCAATGCAAACAATATTAAATGATTGATGAGGAGACTTAGGTAGAAGTATTAGCTTGCATTTGATGACCTTTAAGGGCATTTAAAAAAAAAAATGAAGACATGAACTCCAGTGAGATTAAAATCTGAAAATACATATATGTATGTATAAAGACATACATATTTATACATATAAACATATATTTCTGCTCTAGCTTTCCCAGACTAATGTCAGTTAAATTAGAATGGTGTGTGGAAAGATGTGTTTCCCTCTGTTTTTTTTTTTTTCCCATTTCCTAGAGCTGGAATAAAATATCTATGTTTTATGGGACTTAAGCTTGGCTTTGTCTCTTGGTTTTGTTAATGTTAATTCCTCTTAAATATCTGAAAACATCTCTAACTATTTGAGAGGGCCATATTGCTACACAGGCTTCCTAATACTGCTTGACAATCCTTCTACTGGTTCCTGAGTGGTTTACTATTGTTTTCCCTAGAAGAGGTATTACAAACCTTTTATTCTCCTCAAACCTCTTATAACTGTCAAAGTTGACTGTGCCTCCTGTTTCATAGAGAAGAAAGTAAATTATTAGACATGACCATTCCCAACTTCTTCCCATCTACCTTCAAGACTTAGCTCTTTTCAGCCATGCATCCCCCTTTCCTAAGACATACTTCTCTTTGTGGTCTTGATCTCATTCGTTCCCATCTAAGACCATATTCTACCCCGTTTAATCTCCAGTCTTTGGTTTCTCTTTTTACTAGTTTCTTTTCCTCCACTTCTACATAGCTGCAGGTGTTCTCTGTCTTAAATCAACAATAACAAAACAAGACAAAAACCTTTCCTTAACTTGACCTCTCCCCTTGAACTATTTTTTCTCTCTCCTTCCTATAATTGTTATACTTCTTTAAAAAGTAATTGTTACTTTTTGACAAAAGTAAATATTATCCCTTTTTTCCCTACTTTCAAGTCCTCTCTGCCTTGTGACATTCTGACCTCCATACCTGCTTAAATTTTTTTGAGATGGAGTCTTGCTCTGTTGCCCAAGCTGGAGTGCAGTGGCACAAACACAGCTCACCGCAACCTCCACCTTCCAGGATCAAGCAATCCTCCCATCTTACCCTCCCGAGTAACTGGGACTAAGGCACCCGCCACCTTGCCTAATTTTTTGTATTTTTGGTAGAAACAGGACTTCACCATGTTGTCCAGGCTGGTCTCGAACTCCTGAGCTCAAGCCTGTGCCTGACTCAGCCTCCCACAGTGTTGGGATTACAGGCGTGAGCCACCGCACCCAGCCCCTACCTGAATTTTTATGTCATTTTTGACTCTTCACCACTCTCTCCATGAAACTCACTTATCCCTTTGCTTTCTATTTTTCCTGCTTTTGTTATTCTTCATTTTTTTCTCTTGCTCTGAATTCCTTAAATGCTGAGGCTGCTCAAGTTTCATCCCTAGTCCTATTTTCTCATTCTATATGCGCTCTCATTTTCATTTAACAGACCTCACTGGCTTCAGCCACCATTTGTTTTATTATTCATATCTTCAACCCCCATAGCTCTCTAGTGCTGTAGACCTTTATTTCTACTTATTAGTTATATTCATCTAACATCCCATAGATATGCCAGTGTCAATATGCCTAAAACAAAATTGTCTCTACCTCCCACTCCTTCAAATCTATTCTACCTTCTCTAATCCTAAAATTACTCTCCCTCAAGCCATCATCATCACTTTTCTGGGTTACTGTAGTAGCCTTCAGGCTAATTTGCTCACTGTCAATCTTGCTTTCTCTCATTTCAGAATATGTTCTGCTTGCAGGTGACAGTAAACTAGTTAAGTACTTAATATTAGCTTAAGCAAAAAAAAAAAAAGCCCTATTTATAGCCTAGAATTAGGCAGTATAGGGTTGGGACAGTGGCTCATGGGTGCTATTAAGGACATAGACTTTTTCTCTTTCCACTATGTCCTCTACAGCATGCTGGTTTGTCACCTCATGGTCACAAGATGTCTGCTGTACCTCCAGGGAGCAGCTACACATTCAGAGTAGGAAATAGCAGATAAAAATGTACACAAGATGCTTCTGACTCCCTTTTATCAGAAAAGTAAATGCTTTCTTAGAATCTCCTCAGAAGACCTCTGTGTATATCTCAACCAGTACTTGTCATATAGCCACACACTTAGCCTAAGGAAGATAGGGAGTAGGGAAATCGTGTTTATTTTCCCGTGATGAGGAAGGCAAGGGGTAAGGGGTTGGGAACAGGTCATACAGTGTCTGCTACCCTATTCTAACCTATTTGTCTATTATGACATAGTTGTCTTCCTGACAACTATAATGAATAGTTATCTTTCTGAAATCTTTAGTGGCTCATCATTGCTTGCAGAATCAAAGCTCCTTAGTTTGATATACAAGGCCCTTCATATCTGATTCCAGCTTACCTTCTAATCCTATCTTCCCTCTCCTTACCCACCCTACTGTTAATGTGTATTATACTGTCTTTATGATATACCATTTGTTTCTTGAACATGCCTTGCTCATTATTGCCTCTTTCTCTGCGTGTGCTAGTGTGTCCTCTTAGAATGTTCTTCCATCTTATCCTGCTCCATATTCTAACTTCTACCCATCCTACAAGTCCAATTCCGGTGTTGTGTTCCCTCTCTCAATCCTCTAGGGTACAATTTAGATGTTCTCTCTTCTAGAGATAGGATCTTGCTATGTTGCTCAGGCTGGTCTCAAACTCCTGGCCCCAAGCGATCCTCCTACCTCAGCCAACCAGACATAAGCGACTGTGCTCGCCTTTTTTTAAAAATTGAGGGTATATGATATGGTCGGGTATGGTGGCTCACACCTATAATCCCAGCACTTTGGGAGGGCAAGGTGGGTGAATCACCTGAGGTCAGGAGTTCGAGACCAGCCTAACCAACATAGTGAAACCCTGTCTCTACTAAAAACACACAAAAAAAGTACAAAATTAGCTAGGCATGGTGGCGCATGCCTGTAATTCCAGCTACTTGGGAGGCTGAGACAGGAGAATCACTTGAACCCGGGAGGTGGAGGCTGCAGTGAGCCTAGATCATGCCATTGCACTTCAGCCTGGGCAACAAGAAGAAAACTCAGTCTCAAAAAATAAACAAATAAAAAATAAAGGTATATAATATGTCTTAGATTTGATGAAATATGAGTGTGTTTGAGATCTGATCCAAGGTTTTAAAAAAATCATTTCAAATACTGGAGATAAATTCTGAGGAGCTTACTTATGAAAAACTAGCAAGTGATAGGTGGTATTTAGAGATACGGTACTTACACAATTTATGTAATTAACATTTTCTCACAGACAAGGTTCCTTGTGGTATCATTGAATAATTTTTGTGTAGTTTCTATGCCCATGAAGTGCCTGGTAGGTAGTAGGAATTCACATGTTCTGCTATGCTGGTTGCAGCACAGGACACAAAAGTTAGAATTATTTCAAAGGACTTATACTCTACTAGGAAAAAGGGAAACAGAAATACAGTGTTGTATGTGGTATCTTCCCTAAGATAAGCACAACCAAAGAGCTATGGATGTTCAGAGGTAGAATGTAGTACTGGGATGATGTCAAGGAGGCAGTGGTACTTAAGCTGCTCAAGGTAGGGAAGCAGTTTACTTGCTAGTTTTTCATAAGTAAGCTCTTCAGAATTTATCTCCAGTATTTGAAATGAATTTTTTTTTTTTTTTTTTTTTTTTGAGACGGAGTCCCGCTCTGTTGCCCAGGCTGGAGTGCAGCAGCTCGATCTCGGCTCACTGCAAGCTCCACCTCCCGTGTTCACCCCATTCTCCTGCCTCAGCCTCCTGAGTAGCTGGTACTACAGGCACCTGCCACCACGCCCGGCTAATTTTTTTTTTTTTTGTACTTTTAGTAGAGATGGGGTTTCACCATGTTAGCCAGGATGGTCTTGATCTCCTGACCTCATGATCTGCCCGCCTCGGCCTCCCAGAGTGCTGGGATTACAGACGTGACCCACTGTGCCGAGCCTGAAATGAATTTTTTAAAACCTCAGATCTGAATATATTCAAACACCAATATTTCATCAAATCTAAGGCATATCATATACCTTTAATTAAAAAAAAAAATGCTGAGCAGAGTTGCTTATGTCTGGGAGGCTGAAGTGGAAGGATTGCTTGAGGCCAAAAGTTTGAGACCAGCCTGAGCAAATAGCAAGATCCTGCCTCTAAAAACAAACAAACAAACAAATGCTGCTAGTTACGTTTATTCCAACATCAGATACGTCAGACTGTGAAAGAAGAAGCATCTTAAATCTGATGAAATATGGTAGGTAAAAAATAGCGCAAGGCTAAATATAAGTGACTTTTAAGTTATCTGCTCTTTTCGATTATCACTACTGCTACTAGCCATTAGAATATTGGTTTGGATAGGCCAAGTGCGGTGGCTCACACCTGTAATCCCAGCACTTTGGGAGGCCGAGGCGAGTGGATCACAAGGTCAGGACATCAAGACCATCCTGGCTAACACGGTGAAACTCCATCTCTACTAAAAATACAAAAAAAAATTTAGCTGGGCATGGTGGCGGGTGTCTGTACCCCAGCTACTCAGGAGGCTGAGGCAGGAGAATGGCATGAACCCAGGAGACAGAGGTTTCAGTGAGCAGAGATCACGCCACTGCACTCCAGCCCGGGTGAAAGAGCGTAACTCCGTCTCAAAAAAAAAAAAAAGAATATTGGTTTGGATAATGGAAAGTTGACTAGAGCTACAAAATCTGTCTCAAAATAAAAGATCTGCTCAAACAAGAATGTGATGATCACTTGCTGTATTGTACAACAAAGTCAAACTGCTGGTAGACTCAGGTGACAGTCAAATGTTGGAGGCTATGTTGGGATGAGTTGTTTCAAGGCCTCTTTCATTCTTCCCATGCCATGTCCAGGAGTTCTTCTCTGTTAAAACTGAAGAGATGCCAGCCCTCCACAGAGGAAAGGTCTAAAGCCCCTCGACTAGTGTAGTAGTCGACAGAAGCCTGGTTCCAAATAACGACAAGAAAGTGCATGCGGTTACATTGAGTTCTGATGGCTATCTGTTTAAAAACAAACCAGCAAATATTAGTTTCATTTGAAAGTATAATCTTCATTAACATATATTTTTTATTGAAGGTCTACTCTATGCAAGACACTATGTGTGAATAATACTTCCAAATATGGTAGTTATCTTTTGAACTTTTCTATAGCTGTAAAAAGAAAAAAACCTCACTGTTCTGAGCTTCAAAGCCCTCTTTGAAAGCTCAAAACTGATTTGCAAAGCCTTTATCATATAGAAAAGATGTACCTATAAGAACACATGTTCTGATATGTTTCCAAAATACAAGAAGATCCTCCTTTTATAGTCTTGTAATATTATACTGTGGGCCTGTTTTTTTGAATAAAAATGCTTTCTAATCTCCCTCCTCTTTACTTTCACTTGATAGCAAAAAGGGTGTATAGTGTGGTTGTGGATTATATATAAATCAATTTTAATTGACTGTAACTCATATGCTGTATATGATCATCTGATTTGAAAATCCAGTTTAATTTGGGTAGAAATTTGAAGTATATGTTGGGGTTATGTTCAAATGGTGAGATTAATGATTTAATTTATGCCCTGTGAATATTTATTGAAGAAAAAGTTAGTGAATAGAATATCAGTACTAACTGTAATACATACCTGACTTAGCCTCTTCAGCATTTCAGCTCCAATACCTAGACCTTTTAAATAGACAATGCAAAATGAAAACTGCAAATTTCACTTAACTAGTCATTTGCTTTAGTTTAAAATAAGTAATATCTAAAACTCTGTATCTTTTTTTAATATTATTAATAGCTTGTGGAAACACAACTCGTGAATGCTTTCATATCCCTTTTTCCTAATTGGAATGAAGTATAGAAGGTCAGAGAAGAGTTTGGGTTTATTTTAAAGATCCGTGAAGAAGTGAGTCTCTGCCACTATTGTCTTATAATGGTATATTTCTTATCTATTTTTACTGAAAACCACCTAAAATGTAAAAGCATTTTTAAAGATAAAAGTATATCTGTGTGACCAGGCACAATGGCTCACACCTCTTATCCCAGCATTTTGGGAGGCCAGGGCAGGAGGATCACTTGAGCCCAGGAGTTCGAGACCAGCCTGGGCAACACAGACTCTCTTTCTACAAAACATAAAGAATTAGCTGAGTGCTGTGGCACCTGCCTGTAGCCCCAGCTACTTGGGAGGCTGAGGTAGGAGGATTGCCTGAGTGTAGGAGGTCGAGGTTGCAATGAGACGTGATCACACCACTGCTCTCTAGCCTGGGTGACAGAAAACCCTGTCTCAAAAACAAAATTAAAAAAAAAAAAAACATATAGCCATGTGATAGCTTGGCTTATTCAAACCTTGAGAGGAAGTAATAAAACGTTTTTCTAATCTGTGACTGAGTGTTCACTGCATGAAAGAATATCTAGGATAGTGATCAAACTCATTAAGTAGCAATAAGTTACATTAACTAAAACACCATATGTATAGTAAAATCTTGTCTCCTTAAAATATGTCATTTTAATTTTTAAAGTATTTAAAAGTATCGTTACAGGAAGTCAGGGACCCCGAACGGAGGGACCGGCTGAAGCTGTGGCAGAAGAACATAAATTGTGAAGATTTCATGGATGTTTATTAGTTCCCCAAATTAATACTTTTATAATTTCTTATGCCTGTCTTTATTGCAATCTCTGAACATAAATTGTGAAGATTTCATGGACACTTATCACTTCCCCAGTCAATACTCTTGTGATTTCCTATGCCTGTCTTTAATCTCTTAATCCCATCATCTTCATAAGCTGAGGATGAATGTCACCTCAGGACCCTGTGATGATTGCGTTAACTGCACAAATTGTTTAAACAATATGAAATCTGGGCACCTTGAAAAAAGAACAGGATAACTGCGATGTTCAGAGAACAAGGGAGATAACCTTAAAGTCTGGCTGCCTGTGGGCCGGGTGGAACAGAGCCGTATTTCTCTTCTTTCAAAAGCAAATAGGAGAAATATCGCTGAGTTCTTTTTCTCAGCAAGGAACATCCCTGAGAAAGAGAATGCGTTCCTAAGGGGAGGCCTCTGAAATGGCCGCTTTGGGAACGTCTGTCTTTTATGGTTGCAGATAAGGGATGAAATAAGCCCTGGTCTCCTGTAGCGCTCCCAGGCCTATTAGGACAAGGAAATTCTCGTCTAATAAATTTTGGTCAGACTGGTTGTCTGCTCTCAAACCCTGTCTCCTGATAAGATGTTATCAATGACAATGCGTGCCGAAACTTCATTAGCTATTTAAATTTTGCCCCGGTCCTGTGATCTCGCCCTGCCTCCATTTGCCTTGTGATATTTTATTACCTTGTGAAGCATGTGATCTCTGTGACCCACACCCTATTCGTACACTCCTTTCCCTTTTGAAAATCATTAATAAAAACTTGCTGGTTTTGCGGCTTGGGGGGCATCACAGAACCTGCCTACATGTGATGTCTCCCCCGGACACCCACCTCTAAAATTTCTCTCTTTTGTACCCTTTCCCTTTATTTCTCAGACCAGCCAACACTTAGGGAAAATAGAAAAGGACCCACGTGAAATATTGGGGGCTGAATTTCCCCAGATATCTGGTGCCCACGTGGTCTTTCTTTTTTCCCAAGTGCATGTGGGAACCCGAGTCCCTTTGGTAGGTGCGGAGAAACGTCATCAATTTGGTCCACAGATATGTATGTTCAACTCCCTGATGACTGGTGAGTAGTCTGTATATGGTCCGGGTTAGCTGTGGGTCATGTGGAGTCTAAACATCATGTGTATCTCTGCTATATTAAACTCTTATTAAAACAGGGTGGTGGTCTAGTGCCTATGGAAAATATAGTCACTCTAGTCAGGGCAGTGGAAGAATACTGTCCTTGGTTTCCTGAAAAAGGAACCTTAGATGTAGAAATATGGGATTGTGTTGATGCAACATTCTGGGAACTGGTCTCCACAGGAAATTATGTTCCTGTCACTGTTTGGGGTGATTGGGCCTTGGTACATGCTGTCCTGATGACATGCCAATCTCGTGACCCCCTACAGTTACCACAGTTTTCTGAATCTGACGACCCTCCACCTCTTCCTCAACCTTCCTCTCCCGCACAGCCTTCATTATCTGATCAGCCTCTCCCTTCGTCTACTCCTCCCCCACCTGACGATGTTGAGAATTCAGTGTCTAACTCCGGTGACTTTGGATTACAGTCACCCCCGACGATCTTTTCTTTTCATGAAGAGCTGGTACTTGTAGCTCCTGCGCCCCGACTCACACAGCCCAGGACCATATATATGCTAATTCTTCTCTTTTCAAATCTCTGGAGTCACCTAATGGCTCTGGGACCAAACTACAACTTACCTATAATTCTGCAGGCCCTCCCCTGTCCACTTCAGCCCCTCACCCTCCTGTCGTTTTGGTACCTCAACCGGTCACTTTGCCATCCACTCAGCCTGCTTCCTGTACCCTTCTTCACACATGAACGCCAGTAATCACCAGTATACTTCTGCTCCTTCTGCTCCCCAATGCCCTTTGCTCACACTCTCATTCCAGTCCAACCCTCTCACCCTCAGTTTGCCTTATCTACACATGCTTTTCCTGTCACTTATATGCCAACTCCATCTCAGATGCCTACTCTTGAAACTTCAATGCAAAGCTTATTACGCCAAAACAAAGAAACAAGTGGATTAGACGCGTGGACTTATCTGGTCGCTCTAGACCTGTAGCAGGACGAGCCGCAGACAAAACTCCTCAGACACTGGATTAAAGAAGGAAGAGGTTTTTTATTGGGCCAGGAGCGTCGGCAGACTCGCGTCTTAAGAGCCGAGCCCCCCGAGAAAGAGATATTTAGCCTTTTTAAAGGCTTACAACTTTAAGGGGTCCACGTGAAAGGGTCATGATAAATCGAGCAAGCGTGGGAAACGTGACTGGGGGCTACATGCATCAGCTAACAGAACAAAAAGTTTTATAATGCTTTTTTCATACAGTGTCTGGAATTTACAGATAACACAAGTAGTTTAGGCCAGGGGTTGATGTTGTTATTATTATTACTTCGTTTAGCTCCTAGGGCCGGGTGGTGGTGCCAAGGTTGTCTGGCTATTTATCTTACTTTTGTTTCTCTCTACTCCTGTCTTGTGAACTAGGCAAGGTGGGGGGAGGAGGGCAGCATGAGTAATAGTGGTCTCCTTCCTTAGACCCACCTAACTTCCAAGGGGTACAAATGCGTTATTATGTACCTCTTAATCTTACTTTTTTAAAAGAATTTAAGGATGCTTGTACTCAGTATGGTCCTATTTCTCCTTATGTTAAAATGGTATTACACACTTTTTGTACAGAGGTCATTTTGCTTCCTTTAGACTGGCAAAAGCTGTTCTGACCCCATCTCAGCATTTACAATTTTGCACTTGGTGGTCAGAAGAGGCACGTTTGCAGGCTCAGCTAAATTGAACTAAATTGAACTAGTTACTCAGGCTCAGCTCACAGGCTCTGATAGTTTCTCTGATTCTTATGCCCAATTAAACTTTGATGCTCTTACCACAGAACAAGTAACAAAGGTGTGTATGAGAGCTTGGGATAAATTACCTGCTCCAGACCAAGCTCCTGTTTCTTTTACCATGGTTAAACAAGGTCACTCAATTATACCCTGATTTTTTAGCTAAATTACAAGATGCTTTTGAAAAATCTGTCTTTGATGAGCGTGCTCAAGGTATTCTTTGTATGTTAGCTTTTGAAAATGCAAACCATGAGTGTAAAATGGCCATGCATTCTGTCCAACAACAAAATTTACCTGATCACGAGGTGTTGCCTGCATATATTAAAGCTTGTGAAGGCATTGGATCAGACACCTACAAAGCTATTCTGTGGGCACGGGCATGAAGGACACCAACCAAACTGGTCCCACTAATTCTTTTATTGGAACCTGCTATAATTGCAGTCAATTTGGTCATACTCAAAAAAATTGCACTGTTAAAAACTTAAAAGCAGCCAAGCCAGCTCAACAAACACGACCAAATGCTGCTGCTACTGTTTGCCCACGTTATCGCAAAGGTAAACATTGGACCAGTAATTGCCACTCTAAAGATGATGTAGATGGAAATCCCCTGCCACAACACCAGGGAAACGGGGAGTGGGGCCAGTCCCAGGCCCCAATATCAAATGAGACGCTTCAGACTCAGACCAATGTTGCTTTTCTGCTTCAGTTGGTCCCAATGCAACCCTCAGCACAAACAAATTTACCTACAGCCAAACCAAATGGGTCACAGCCTCTCCTGTCTCAGTACAATGCTTGTCCACCTCCGCAGTAGGGGGCGGGGTGGTCGATCTCTGTACTACTCTTCCTCTAAATTTACTACCTAACTCTTTGCCTTTAATTGTCCCCACGGGGGTCACTGGCCCTTTACCTCAAGGTTCGGTGGGTCTGGTGTTAGGTAGGGCATCCACCTCTGCTAAAGGTATCATCATTTATACTGGTCTCATTAATTCTGATTCTGTTGATGAGATTAAATTAATCGTGTCTGCCAAGGTTCCTGTTTCCATTCCAGATGGTGAGTCAATTGCTCAATTGCTTTTACTACCTAATACCATTTTAAACAAAGGAGATAAGACACGTAGCCCTGAGATGGGCTCTGGCAGTGAAAAAGCCGCTTATTGAATTAATGTAATTTCTAAACAACGGCCCACCTGCACCATACACGTTC